AATTGAGTTTAAGCAATGAGTTTAAGAAATTTTCACTTTATCTCATTCTGGCATTTCCAAAGTTTAACTCTTATCAGCCTCAAGCCTTAGGGACTATTTCCACACCCTATCACGCTAACTGTGGATCGATGTATCTCCAAGGGAATTCTCGCTAAATTGCAATCAATGTAAGTGGCTTAGCTGTCTGTCACGCCTACTGAAACTGGCATGCCAGAATCCTAAGCCGCTTAAACTGAAAGCAATTTAGTGAGAAACCCCTTGGAGTTGGATTGATCCTGTTAGATTGATCTAGGTATGGGAACTCAGTCTAATGCTTGTTACACATTTTACTTTCATCCTAATTCAATGTTATGCAGAATTAGAATTTGATGTTGGCTATGCAGTTACAGTAAGCATAATACATTAATGCATCAAAATTGACAGTATCCTATTTCCTGCGCTTTTTTTCTGTTTTTTGTCTGTACATTTGACAGCTTTGCTGCCTTGTTCACTTTTATCTTAAAAGAGGACATTATTCTTGATGAGATTCCGTACCATTGGAACTTCAGTTTAAGAGGAAGTATAGAACATTTTGAAGGTATTTTGATGTTGCGTACAGTTGCATGTGAGATATTATTGTTCTATAGCCAATTTTAGTATGTTAGTACTATTAATACTGCCTTCTTCAAGCTATAAAATAGTACAGGTGTAATACTAATATTGGTTGTCGTAAAACAGGGACAACAAATTTTTACAGCATAACAGCTCCCTGTATTGTGCCCCTCACCTTGGGATTATTTTGAAAGATGAAGCTTAGTTTTTCTTTAGTCTGTGGCATGATCAAGTAGCCAGGGTGAAGATAGGGCAAGGCATCTCAAATTCTTAATAGAAGCAGGTACCACTTCTACTTCTCACATAGAAACTGGTAGTATTTATACTTCATGTTGGTAGAAACAAGAACCACTTCTACAGCAACCCTATAACACTTAGGCACAGGTAATTTATACGCTCTATAGTATATGGCACTCTGTAGTCAGTATAGTATAGTATAGTATACAGGCCTTGCCACTTAGGAAACTCCATGCATTTTGAGAATTATACTTTTGGTATCCCTGTAAATAGTGAACTCATCAGAAAATAGTCACAGGGCTATTATCAGTTTGGTACAGCAAAGACTTATGAAAATATGGTGAACACAGCTTGGCATTCCACTTCATTGATCTCCCTGTTTCAATATTTGTAAATTTATTGGGGAGGTGGTCAAGCTTCCCCTTTCAGCTCCCCCTTAATGCAGTTCCCCTCACCTGTGTAATCAGTTAATGCCTGTGAGAGGAGTTGGATACTTAATTGTTCACCATCATTTCAGGTGAAATTTTTCTGATTACCTCAGTCAATTTGAAGGTGTGCAGCATTGGATGAGGTATATGGGATATTTTCCAGAAGGAGCTCCCAACTAAATGAATTACTCTACAAAGAAGACACACAAGTGCATGTCCGAGAAACGGAACTGGAGATTAAAGGAGGCAAGGTGCATTGAAGTAATTAGCCTGTGTTTGAAGTCTTATTGTTTGGATGTGTGTGAGAACTTTGCTACTGGGTAAAAGAAAGGAGCTCTGGGCCCCTGATTAATTTCTTGTACTCCCAGGTAACTTACTGTTGTGAATTATGCACACTCAGGTAAGGTAAAACTGAAGACCAAGGGTAATAAATTAGCTTAGAAATGCATTATAGTGAGGTGAGTAAGGGAAAACATACATGTGATTACTTAATATGATATATGGGTTCAAATTTGTAGCCTAAATCTGGGAATTTGTTCACTGTGCAGATTTGCCAGCTGTATGTGTTGGTAGTTAAAGTACTGAAAACAGAAATTATGATTTCATGAAGATCTAAGTGGAAAGAGAGGAGGATTGAGATATAACTTTCTTTTACCGGAATTTTCCTCTGAAAGGGCATTTTTAGTTGGTGTGCTTTTCTGTGTACAAATTTGCGGTAGGTACTTCTGTCATATATGTACTTATATTTATAAACATGAGCATGTTTTCTTATACTGACTTGTGACTTTATATGCATTCTTAATTAATTTTACTAATCTAAATGCCCATGAAAACAGTTGTTTGCAGAATGGATGGTTTCAGTTGTTTTGTTACTTCTAACTCCTATCACAACTAAAATGCATTTTTTTTGGCTTTATTTAGTTATCATTTTCAGGTAACATGGTTGCTGTATTACTGTTTTATTTTACTATTAATGTATTTTTGCCCATTTAAAATAAAACCAACTAATTTGAAACAAAGTTATGATTAAATTTCACAAATTTTGACTTGCCAAGGGAATTTTGTAAAAAATTAGACATTGCCCTTGGTGGCCTTTTCTCTTCATGGGCCCCATCCCCAGGTATTGTTCCACTGCTAACTTAATAATGCAATAATATCCACTGTATTTATCAATGATTGATTTATGTAATAGACTCCCTGTGGCTATAGGATATTGAATATTGATTATTGACCGCAATACCATACTGACTGCCCATACACTTATTAATTATTTTTATATATTTCTATGGAAAGTCGATACCTGGAAGATTATCCTCAGTTTGCCATAATATAACAATTGTTCACCTATTAATGCAAGATGTAGGTGTGATCATAGATAATATAGGTCTTGTTTTCTGTGGGAGAGCTTTTCACATATCAATTAATTTCTTAATTTGTGTGGGTAAGCTGGTTTATGAATATCAGAACTAACTTTGACTTTTCATTTAATGTGTGGGCTTGCCACTTTTGAANGGGGCCGGCGGAGCCGCAGGAGCCGGCGGAGCCGGCGGAACGGACCGGACGGGACTAAAACCATGTGTACCACCAGCGCTAACGCTGGTGGTACAATTAAAAAGTTACATTTTATTTACTCCACTATAAGCTTGTGTGGATTTAAAAGCTGGACCAGAGAGACAGTTTTTTTGTTTTTTTTTTTTCCCATGCCTATTTTAATTCAGCAATTATCAAAGCGAGGAAAGTTACAGAACTGTCACATTTAGCATTAACACATGAATAGAAGGAAAAAATAACCTAGTAAATTATCTATTACTTTTCTGCTCTGGTGAAAACAATCCCAGAAATGTTCTAGTTGTCTTTGGCCATCCCCCTCCCTTATCCCTCCACACACACACATCTAAAACATTTTTTGTCCATTTTCTGAAGCATATATCATGATCGATGTTTTCTTTGGAATAGCTCATTAAAAATAAAATAATAATAATAATAATAATAATAAGGCCAGAGCACACTTACCCCAAGGCCCTGCAGCTCTCACCACTGCCAGTGGGTTAAAAGGTTTCAGCAGCGTGGCCAGTGCCCTAACCCACAGCGGGAAGGGTCTCTGCTGGGGCACAGCAGGTCTCTCTGGGAACCCCCATGGATCCACCAGAACAAGGTGCTTCACTCTGTCTGGGTACTTCATGGCATAACCAGCTGCCACAAACCCACCCAGGCTGTGTCCTAGCAGTACAAAATTCTCCAGTCCCACCGCTTCCCGCCAGTCTTCCACAGACTGCACAAACTGCTCCTCCACGATATCTGCCTCGTAGCTGAAATTGGGCCTCGAGCTGCGCCCAAAGCCGAGCAAGTCAAAGGCGTACAATGCTCTGTCCTGAGAAATGGTCGCTAAGTTCCGAGACCATAAACCCACGCCTCCCCCCATGCCATGTATTAAAACTAAAGGAGTATTGCTCGCCAGGGGAGATGTATCTCCACTTGCTGTTTCCAGTTCAGATTTGTCCTCAGTTTGATGGTGTAATATTCCAAGAGATGGACTATTTTCTGCATATCCTGTTTTTATTGTGTGAAAACTTCCATTGATACATATTGTCCACAGGCGATTTCTGCCACCAGTCACAGGAATATATCTGCCCTGGTACCGACCACTTAATACTGAAACAGATTTTTCATAAATTTTTTACAAATTACAAAATTCAATGTTTTAAATTCTGTAGATATAACATAGTGACTGTATTAAATGGCACCACAGTTCAGAGTTATGATTGCTTTTATATAAAAAAACATAATTATCATGTAGTTCAATATTCAAAGACCTACATGAATAAAAAACTGCTTTATATTTCAACTTTCCCATTTTGACTTACAGTAGTTAACTTTCACAAAATTATGAAGTGCTTTCTTCATATAAAATGCCACAAAGTTTGAGTAAAACTTACTGTGTAAAAGTTTGTGTTCTGCCTCTGCTAACATCACTCTGGAGGTAGGTTTCCATCGGATCCAACTTCTCAACCAGCTGTCTCTGCATGTATTAAAATCCATCACAAAAATGATAAATGTAATCAAAATGTTTTATATTATAACTTTCCCTAATTATTTAATCACACTTTACAAAGCAACTGAGAGTGATACACTTCAACTCGGAGTTGGAGTCGGACCCGATCCGAACGTCCCTAACTGTCTCGATTTCGGGTTTGCAACGTACTAGTAAATGTAAATGTAATAATATGAAATAAACTAAACTATGTTATTGTAACTTGTTATGTAAGGAAGCAAAAAGAGGCAAGTTCCAACAAAATCCAATTAGAACCCAAACAAAAATCAAATCCATTGAAGAGCTACAGAATGCACAGTAACTGGAAGTAGGTTAACAATTTAGTTTAGTATGCTTTAGGTTGAGGTTTTTCTCTGCAAGCAAACTTTACAACTGCACTAACTTTACAACCTACAGTGCAGGCAGCGTTGAACTTGGAAGTTGCCATCGTTGTATTTCGTACTGTCCTAGTACAGACAATCGAAAAAATCTTTCATCGCAAGCCGTCTTCGAAATACCATACATCAATATAAAACCCAAAACTAAATAATTATTAAAAATACACTGTCAAAAGCTTACCTATCAACTTCCAGCTCTACATGTTGGGTTTGTAGCTGTGCGTTCTGTGCTGGAAGACTGTCTGCCATTTTGGAAAACCACCAAACGTCACGTGTCGCACACGTCATTTTAGGAATCCCCTGATCAAGATAGTCTTTCCTGTCAAACTTTTTGTTTACGTTTGATAATTCATTTTACACAGCGTCTTTGAATTTCAAGTGAACACATTTAGAAAATAAAGCTTTATATTGTGGAAAAGAATGCAATTTGATAATATTTTTTATAACGTTGATAACGTTATTTGACACCACCCAACCTCAGTTTGTCCTCAAATCGCACGCCATCTGCTGGGTAAATCTGCGCGTGGCGGGAACCTTATGCAAGCAGCTGATTCTTTTGGTGAAGGCGCTGTGTTAAAGTTCTAGGTAAGAAATAGGTTTTTGGTGCTTGAAATTGAACAAAATGCGTTTAAGTACATGCATTGATTAGATTAAATGGGTTGACTTATATGGACATTAGGCAAAAACTTGTGTAAGTCACTTCTGTCTGCCACGGCCTACGGGCATAGCAAAAGGAAATGGTTAGAATTCTGGCATAAAACACTGCCACCTACTAGTGCTACTTCTTCTGGTGGCTTGCAGTCTGTATAGATACAGGGCCTCCCATTCCCACCTTAACTGTCCCACTAGAAAGATTTTGTGCTTATGTAACTACAAAGATTGCGTTTTCTCTTTGAGGTCGGTACATTCAGATGTACTACTGGTACCCTGACGTAGATTTCGCCTTGGTTGAAAATATTTGATATATGAGTTTTACTCTGGATATTAACTGTGCATAAGGCCTTTACCAAGATAAATTAACAGAGTAGCCTGAGTAGGGTCTTAAATTTACAGAGAAAGTAAACAGAGGCAAAAGGGCCTTGGACTAATGTCTGTAACTTTAAAGCTCCTCTCCTACAACTAATTCTTTGGTCCCCAGTACACATGGGAGTGTCAGGTTACAGTGCAGGTTAAAATAAGGTGGGGGAAGAAATGGGGAATTAAAGAGGAGAAGGCATTTTCAGTGTGAGATCTTACATCATAGAAGCTTCTTATATCACTCAAAAGTAGGCATTGCACCATTTAAGAGGGAGTGGGGATGGCGATGAGGCTGCTTCCTGCTGTTTTTCATTTCATAACAGCATGGGATGGTGTATTGAATTTGACTACAATGCTATGGATTCTAAAATAAAAGATGGGTTGTAAAAGTCCATTGTAAAAGCTACAGAAGCGAACAAACTGTCATAAGCAGGAAGAAAAGAGCTACACTGTAGCATACTGGGATTTGGTATACCACAAATCTCCACTCTGTTGGCTAAGAGGTTCTGATCACTTTTGGTTAATTTTAAGCTTTCCCTGTACAAACATATCCTAAAGCAAGGACTTCTGCATAAGAGAACAGTTTTCTAATAGGATGTTTGTTAGGGTGATGAACCTCAATGAATCAGGGGCTAGTCTTTCAGGTTCCCTGGTGATTTATTAGTGTTGAGATAAACCTAATACCCAGTAGAGAGATTAGAGGAGATTATGGTCCTGTAGTCATTATTGGTTCCTTAGCTCCATCAAGCCAAGCAGGGTTCATGTTATCGTTAGATCTTGAGGATTTAAGTCCAGTTCACCAAGTGCTTTATATTTGGACTGGACTCCATGGAGAGGTTGACTCCACCTTAAACTTTAAACAAATGAACTCTTTGTGAAAAATGTGTTATCTTTCTGTTAGGTATTTGTTGATGTTTTTCTCCAGTAATTCATTAAAACTTTCTTTTGCAGCTAGCTTACAGCCATCGTTGATGGTTTGATGTTAGTTTCTACAGGCAAGCACTGCTTGGATAATATTTGTTTTTGTGTCTAAGGTCAGGCTTGGAAGAGTAGCTACAGGTGTAATTGACTAAATTGGCCTACCTGTGCTCTGTAGCCAATTTGAGATTATGAAGTGACGGGAGTAGGTGAAATAAGTGGTGTTACATTTAATGTGATTACACAGGGTAATTACAGGGCATGGATCTAATCGTTTTCACAACTCAACAAGTTGGGTTTAAACAGGGAGATTTTTTATACATGTTTTTGCAGAAGAGCAGAAAGAAAAAAAGAAATCTCAAACGTGGAATATTCACCAGAAGTAACTAGTAGCCTATCATTTTAGTTTTGAAACAAATTGAGTCTTGCAAGTTAACCTTAAATTTTGTATTTTTTTTTCTCTCCAACATGATATCAAACCCAGTTAATTTTCTCTTTTGAAGGGACAAGATATTTGAGATAATTCACCTGCCAACACGCATGAATAACAGCTTGCCTATTGAGAAACACAGCTTATATTTCTGCCCAGTGTCCAGCTATCATTATTAGGTGACCACTGACCATTCAGAAAGTCCACAATGAAGCTGACCACCGAGACACGGACAGAATCCCCGGTAAAACCTCTCTCAGAGGAAGCAGATGAACCCAAAGAAAATGCTGACAAGCTGAATATGATAACAGGTAAGTGATAGTTTTAATTTTAGCTTTTACTGTACATTTTGATAAACTTCAATGGAAAACTTTTGTTACAGGCAGATGACCGAGTTGACTCACACCAAAATAGAATTTTTTTCTCCTGAGACAAGCTGTTACATTGCTGTTGGATTAAGTTAGAGTCAAATCTTTTGATTTGACAAGTGTTGTGTAAATTTTTTGCTTTAGGTTAAGCATATTAAAGGTCGTCAAAGTCAAATCTTTATAAACTCCTGCACCTTACTAAACATTTATCTCTCACATTTACAACATTGTCCATTTCCAAAGTGCCCTACTTACAAAGTCTACTGAACAAGAAAATGCTTAAAATTAATTTAACCCCTATATATGCGTATTAACAGGTGCTATGAATGAGGGAGATGAAAACCCATTTCCATCCAAGACAGAGAAGACTTCAGAACTCTTGCCATCTTCTGAGGTCTCTGAACCAAAGGCTGTGGCAAATAGTGGTGCTAAGGAGGCAACAGCAGAGGAAGAGGATGAGGACAGGGTAACCCCTTCAAGTCTTCTCACAGACGCTATGATAAAGGAGGAGAAACAGCTGCATGAAGAGACAGTAGAGGAAGAACAGAGGATCAGGACTGAAGGGCACAAGGTTTGTGTTATTGTATTAGGTGATTCAGATATCCAGTTGTCTCATTTTAAGTTATATTTTATGTCTGAGCCTGCACTGTAATTTCTTTCTTTTTATTTACTTATTTGTTATGCCATTATGTATGTGCCCAGAATTGAAAAAATAGTTAATACTATTCAGCTGTTACTTACAATACAGCTGTGATGGGAAGGTGAAGTATTATAAGAACATAAAATGTGTAATTATAATATATGCAAGCTAATTACTGTCCATTGTCAACATTGTTTTATTTATCTCAGGGAATAGAGAACTTGACCAAAAAAAAAAAAAAAGATGAGGCATACTCATATACTACTAGCAAGAATATTTTTTAAATGTTATTTTGTTATTACTCTTCAACAACATTACTTTATTCACGGCAGGAAATAGAGAACTTGAATGAGAAACTCAAAGAAGAACGTTACAAGAAGTTACAGTTTCTTCTCAGCAAAAGTAACTTGTACACAAAATATCTTCTCGAGAGGATGAACAGACAGCAGCAGGAAGAAGCCAAAAGATGTGAGCAACAGAAGAAGAAACTAGCGAGAGAAGCAGAGAAGAAGAAACAAGAAGAAGAGGTAGGTCAGGGTTTTGCCAAGGAAAAAGCTGGTAGTAATTGATAATAATGATTCTTTCATTAGAACACTATCACAGGGAGGGCACTTCAGTACTTATTTACTGTAAGTAAACCAATGTTGTCTGGCTTTATTTCAGAAACAATCGTCTCAGGAATCTCTCAGCCAGTCACCAGATCTCCGTAAAAGTTCACGCAAGGGAGCCAGTCAAGATACTACTGTGCAGTCACCTAAAGGTCAAGCAAGGACAAATCAAGGTGTGCAGAAATAGTGGTTGAAATATATTATTTTTGTTTATTAATTTATAAAATTTTTCAAAGTTTTTTAATTAATTAATTAATTAATTTATTTGCTGACCTGATCTGACAGGCTGCCTAAATTGCCAGGGTTTTGTATAAATTACTTACCAAGAAAACATGACTAGCAGCTTTATTTTGGTCAGAGGTAATTTATCAATCAGTTCAGTTTGAATGAGAGAAAAGTGAGATATTCAGTTTCATTGTTATTACTATTTTTCAGCTGGTGCTAAGAAGGGAGTGAAAAGAAAGGCACAGCAGAAGCCACCGGGTGCTGAGGTAGATATACGTTTTATTCTTACGTAGCTGGTAGTGAATAAACTCACAGTTAGCCTAAGGTTTTGATCAGGAGCCAGGCGGGCTCTATTTTAAAATTTCCATCCACGCCAATTATTGTGCCTGAACTTGGCTCTTTGTTTGAAGTTTACCACTCTAGTCAAACATGATATCAATTTGATACAAAGGATCTCACCATGCCTCTTTCAACTAAATTCACATCAGAATCTGCCACATCAGACTCACTACGGACTGGCACACACTGCACACACTAAAGGGTGTGACCACCAAAAACGAATAATGTACAACAAGGTCATTATTAAAAATGAAATGTAGTGGGTGTGCTTGGTCAGCATACGTATTGTTATACTGACTATTTTGTTCTTACACTGCATTTGAAAATCAGTCGGCACAGTTATGTTGAACAGATCACAAATTCTATTTTGAAATTCATTGTTGTTTTCAGGAAAAAGACAGCAAGAGAATCAAAACAGATGACGGGCCCCTTGATATAGCCTGTGAACCCACCACCCCTGCCAAAGTACCTGCCATTCCAGATTTCCTCCTGGGCAAAAAACACCCAGACCAGCCCCTGCTGTGTACGGGAGGGGTGCTGAGGAATTATCAGATAGAGGGGTTTAAATGGCTGCAGGTAAGCCCATAGAATAATGTTTCCTTTGATCTTTTAACATTTAAACACAGAAATTAATACAAGTTTTTTTTTTTCAGTTTCTCAAAACAGAGCAAAATCTGATAAAAGTTTGTCAGCAGATCTCTTGAGTGGGTCAAGTTGCACA